ATATATATATATCCAAAAATCAATTAAAATGCATTGCCAGTGATGCAATTGGTGGAAATAAAATGTCTACTAACATATAAATGGTTATTTTGTAGAGACGATTCATCTTCAAATTAGTATAAAAGTGTGGAAATTTATAAACTGGAACGATGATCTCCCACCAGTCACTTACCGGGCCGCACAGACAGAGTAGCGGGGAATCTTTATTTTATTTTTTCCCTTTCCCATACAAAACATCATCAATGAATGGTTACCGGTCCGCAAAATATCTATCCTACCATGGAACAGTCTCTGGCGGACCAAAGTCCTAACAACTGAACAAGAATACATTTTATTATTTCCGCCATGTCATTCTCAGTGTGTCGGGAATGTCGCTGGTCAACATGACATATAAAAGATAAAATACTGAAAAAATCAGAAAGAGGTTAAAGGAGATGATAGGCTGAATCAGCATTTTTTTATCGCCTCCACAGTGGCTTATGTGAAAATTACTTAATTGTTTTACGCAATGCAGCTTTAATTGTTGTCACCATGTTTTTGATACACTTACATTTCAATAAATTGTTGGCCGTTCACTCAAAATTCAAAGACTCAAGGTAACTTTCCCCCATGCTAATTCTGTTAGCTAGTTGGCTAGACGGCTCCTTAACTGTAGCACAATCCTATTCTACAACAAAGGCTGTAATTCTTAATTGTTCAAGTAAAGTCACATATATTCCTCCCCCACCCCCACCGCTTTCGTCTTCACATGACAGTTCCTGGCAAAGTGTGATTGGCCTCTTGTTTCTCTTTTCTCCCTGACTAAAAAAAGGCTATTGAGCCTGTTGTGATGTTTGTGTGTGCCTCCATGTTGCCTGGAGGCAACCTCTCCGCGACCACTCGGCCTCTTTTTGCACGCTTTGTTGCATCAAAAAGCAAAACTGACGTTTTTTAAAAAAGTCATATTTAGCGAGATATACATACATTTTAGGATTTATCTATTTTCTTTGCCGTGTCCCAACCATTTGAGAGGCGCACTACTGCCACCAAATGATCTGGAGCTTGCCAAAAATCACGCCTATACTCTTCAATAGACTCACGTCACTGTTTATTTTAAATCATATTACTTCCAAAACAAAATAACATCTGGAGTACATCAGTAGTCGACAAATTAGGGCACATTTGGACTCATTCACTTTTGTCGAAAGAGCGTGGTTATAATAATCAACAAAGAAAATCCAGCAAGAACGTATATATACGAATCTGATTACGCTGTATTTTAATACAGTAAATCAATGCAGTGGTGAAGGTTTAAAAAAAAAAAGGGTTCTACTGAATGTGTTAATGCGCACAAAGAACAAGTTGAGCTTCTATTCAGGCCAAGAGAATAAATTAGGGGGGAGACTACTGGGAAAACGTTCCTTAACGGGAAGTTTTCTGGGATAATGCGGAGTTCAAAGAACTAAACGACATTAAATCTGATCTTGTCAGTCACTCAGTAGGGCTGACTTTTCAGTTCACGCCTCCTGAGGACTTTTACGACCAATTAAAATTCATCGCACACACTGGGCTACTGAATTAAGTAAGATACAAAGAACGTATTGCTTTCGTGGTTTGTTGGTGTTCGTGAGTCCAACTTTTATATCACCAATACATGTCAGGAAAAGTATAAAATATCGGCTAACATGAAAACAACATTTTCATAAAAAATGTTTGTAATCTTGTTGTCTTCAGACAGGCGCGTCTCTCCGTCATGTTGGCCGCCCTCACTCTCCTTGTTCTACCATTGTCCTCGACCACCCAGCCCAATCCAGGTAGAATGACGTGACAGCGAAGGAATCAATCCACAGAGTCAAAAAAGACAACGTACATCACGCCCAATCACGCGTGGGCACATACACTATGACATGCTAATGTGATTACCCCTTTTGCCAACAGTCCATAATAGAATGCCACAGTGCATAATCGGAAAATAGACATCTACAAATGATCCACATAGTCAAAAAATATATCGCCCACAGCATGCGGAACAACAAAAAACAGAATGATTGGGATAGGAATAATCCTTACCATTCTGCAGAATAGAATTTAACACAACATCTTGAAATAATCCACAGAGTTAAAAAAAAATGCCATGGCTTGCATGATATCACATTATTAATCTTCCAGTTATTATACCACCTTGAACAATTGAAATTAACAGAGCAACTGGAAATAATTCATAGAGTGAAAAAAACATGTGGCAATCACATCTCTTGCCACTTATTCACCATTGCCGATAACTGCCACTTTGCACAAAAGAAATTGAGCGACTGAAAATCATCCCTAGAGTTAAAAAAGTTCACACCACCCTCGGTCACTCGGTGGGCTGTAATGTAACGTAAATAATGCAATCACTCCTCTTTGGAATTAACATTGACAACAACCACCTTGCACAGAAAAAATAAACACAGCACATACAAATAATACATACAGTTAAAAAAGTCAACAGACACTTGGTTATGCATTGGCAATATGCTGTTACGTCATCCTTTCACCACTTATTCGTGATAACCACCACGTTGCGCAGTAAAAATAAAGACAAACATCTGTAGTCCAAAAAAACAAACATGTTTTTTCTTGCAGATGGCACAAACCTCCTACACGTGACTATCACGTCCGGCCCAAAAACTACAGGCGAGCTGGGTGCCACACTGACATTGCCGTGTCTGGCGTCCCTGGCCCGTCCGCCACCCGGCCTGGTCACCAACGGCCGGCGCGCCGCCCTTTCTCTGCCTCACATCAGGTGGAGCTTGGTAGGCCGCGACGACGATAAAGAGACCGAGATTCTGGTGGCCCGTGGCGACAGCGTGCAGGTGAGCGAGGTCTATCGGGGCCGAGCCTCGCTACCGCATTACGCCGTCTCCCCCGCTAACCTGACGCTCCGGCTGGAGGGGCTAAGGCACAGTGACGCGGGCGAATACCGGTGCCATGTACAGCAGGGACTCGACCACGGCCATGATGTCACGCAGGTCCAAGTCAAAGGTCAAATACAGGCTAAAATAACCACGCGATAAAACAAACAGAACTATTGAGGATAACTCAGTCAACCTATATACGCAGGTTTGGTGTTCCATCATGGGGATCTGTCAAGAAGTCCCCATGCCTTCACCTTTGAGCGGGCCCGCGAGGCTTGTGTGGAGATCGGGGCCCAGATGGCCATGCCGGAGCAGCTTGAGGCGGCCTACCACAGCGGGTATGAGCACTGCAACCCAGGTTGGCTCTCCGACCGCTCAGTTCGGTAAGTAGGAGGCAAATCCACTCTAAACCAGTTTGAAACCTGTTTAAAATCAGTTAAAAACCCCATGTTAAACAATTTCAAAACCACTGTAAATTATGCGTTACTTATTTCAAATATGTACAACCACTTTGACAACGTATGAAATGTACGTCAAACCAATTTCAAGTTTCGTCGTAAAAGCAATTGGAATCGGTTTAAAACACGAAATCACTGTGAAATCTTTGTCGAACCAAATGAAAATTAATTTGAAAGGTGTGAAGCTTATTTGAAATCTGTGTAAAGCAAATATGAAATATGCGTCGAGAAATTTCAAATTGTTAAAATCGGAAAAACTATGCAATTTGAAATATGTGTAAACCACTTTGGAATCAATTTACAGTTGGTGCAAAATCAATTTGAAATCAAGTTAAAAAAAATCCATGTGTAATTACTTAAAAATCCCCGTAAAACCAATTTCAAATGAATTTGAAATTTGTGGAGAAAAACATTTTGGAATCATTTTGAATCTGTGCAAAAGCATTTTGAAACCAGTTTCAGTGAGTGTGAAATGAATTTCAAATCTGTGTGATTGTGAATAATTTTAAAACCAGTTTGAAATCCATCCAAACCAATTGGAAATCACTTGGAAACCCATGTGACACCAGTCCCTCTTGTCAGGTATGCAGTACAGAAGCCAAGAGAGGACTGCTTGGGCGTCATGGAAGGTCTTCCAGGAGTGAGGACCTTTGGAACTTTGGAGCCTGAGCAGCTCTTTGATGTCTACTGCTTTGTGGGCCACACCGCAGGTCTTTATTCGATTGGATACTTTTCACATTCAAATGAAAATGCGTTTCCATGACAAATATTTCCACAAATCCATATCCACCAGGTGAGGTGTTCCATGGCTCGGCCCCCCGTGGTTTTACTTTTGGGGAGGCCAAAGCGTACTGCCTGAGTGAAGGTGCCGAGCTAGCCACCCTCGCCCAACTATACGCAGCCCGGAACGACGGACTGAGCCACTGTGGCTCAGGGTGGCTGAAGGACGGCAGCGTGCGCCACCCCATGCCCACCGCTGGGGTGCGCTGTGGGGAGGAACCAGGAAACAAGACGGACTTCCCCGAAGCTCACAGACGACAAGATGTCTACTGCTTCAGAAGTATTAAAAAAAAAAAAAAAGAAAGCTTTTCAAGTCTTTTCAGTCACATTAATGTGATCTTTACTTTCCAGTTATTCATGACGACCGTCACTTTGCACAAAATAAATAAGTCCATACTCTCCTTTTGTGGTCAAGATTGTCAACAAATGTCTATTTTTCCTCCAATGTCAATGATTTCTACACTTCATCTGCGCTTTTTCCTCTCACCACTGAGCCAAAGTGTGTCACCCATCTTCTCTCCACAGCGGAAACAACCGCTGGAAATGAGGAGGTTCAAACAGTCCATTCTGTCACGCAAGACCCGCTGAAGACCGAGTCCTGGACTACAGTTGATCCCCAGTTGGCGCCTGAGCTTTTCATGACAAAGGCAACGTTTGGATCAGAGGACCTCAGCAGCCCCTCGGAAGAACATCAGAACACTTCTACTGCTGATGCTAGTACCGGAAACATGGCCTTGACGTCATCTCACATTGAAGAACCAAGGTCCTTCTCCACAGTGTCGCCCACTTTAGAGACAAACAAAACATTTGAAGATCATCCACAACCTGGAGAGGCGATCCGAATGACCGACTCTTTGGTTACTATGGAAACCAACGCCATCACCTCCACTGAATCACCTTTGGAATCAAGTAAGTCATTCAAACTGCTTCACACCTGTGTTGCATGGAGTCCACCATCTCCAGAAGCTGTGAATTGCTGTACCAGATCAGGATTTTCCGACTACATTATAATCTTCTCTTTTATGAGCAGTTGATAGGTGCCAGAAGTTGGAGGACTCTGTGCAACAGAGATGTGAAGCATTTTTCAGAAACAATGCTTATATAGAAAAATATTAGTTGAACAATTCATTGTAAAGCAACTGCAGTTTAACATAAGTGGTTATCTGGACAGGTGAAGAGCTTTCTGGTGTGGCGTCCGTCACGCCAGGGACACCTGTGATCCAGACAGTTGAGGTCGCCACAGTTACTGACTTCAGTTTTGACCGTACTGCCCCTCCCTTGACCTCTGGGATTCCATCTAACTCCACACATACCTTCATCTCAGACACTATGGGACACCTGGAAGCCACAGATAAAGATGGAGAAAAAGCTAAAACGGAAACCCCAGCCAAAGCATCCAGTGACTGGTCGGGAGAAAGTCCAGAAGCAAAACCGAAATCTGCATCAAATCTGACGGACTCACCGGACCACCACACTGATCCCAGAACACCTCCTCCATCGGAGACTATTTCCTCTCCACTGGAGGAGTCTGGATTCCACATGGAGTCCAACAATCCACTTCTTGTTGCATGGAATGAAGCTACTCGCACCATCCGAAGACCAGAGGGAGGACAAGAGAAGAATGGCACTGATGTCGTCTCTGTTCAAAAATGTTCCGGGTGTCACCTTAAAGATCAAACCATGGAGACCGTAACTGATGCGACTGTGGTCAGGGAAGAGCCCACATTGGCCATGGCTGCCAAACAGGAAGTCATCCAAGGTAACATGCTGTCAATTAAATGACATTTTAAAATGAATAAACAAACTAAATTAAACAAAAATTAAAAGACAACTAAGTAAATAAATAAATATATTGACACTGTACTGAATTTATTTTCGACAACCACCCAAAAGAATATCCCTCATTTAGTGGATGCATGTCATTCTATGCATGAAGTAACAGCGCTCTCTAGTGGAAAAGTTCCTCAAATCCATATCTTTTGGATCTGAGACACTCAATGCCCACAAAATTGCAGTGTTTTTGTTCAGCTGCATCTGTAACAGAACACATAAAACACAGGAATCACCCTACCTAGTAAGCTATACTAATGAATTGTTCTTTGCAGACCTGTGCGGGCAGAGTCCATGCTTGAATGGCGGCACATGCCTAGATGGCGACACGCCCAAGTGCATCTGCCTGCCCGGTTACGGCGGCGCCTCCTGCCAGTCAGGTAAGGAAGGTCCTCCCCACCTGAATGTGAACGTCTCACCCGCATTGCTTCTCACCCTGCAGATTTGAAGGCATGTGAGGCCGGCTGGGAGAAGTTCCAAAGCTTCTGCTATCATCATGTAAACACGCGGCAAAGCTGGGAGGGGGCAGAACAACACTGTCGCACCATTGGCGGACACCTCATGTCCATCATGACCCCTGAGGAGCAACACCACGTCAACGGTAAAGGATGAATACTTTAGTGAAGAGAGGCATTTAGGAGGTCATTTAAAATGGCCGCCTCAAACCAAAATGGCTGACTGCGTCTTTTTGTGAAAAGCTTCTTTGGGACTTTTTCATCTTGACAAATTCCAAATTGCTAAGGGAAGATGGCAATATTCATATTGCGACATAAAACTGCCTTTGATACAGATTTTTTTTAAAGAAATGCCTGGGTGCTCCCTCACCAACAAAGGTCCTTGGAAATGACCGTATGATGGGTATTTAAAGCCACAATGTCACACTTCTGTCTTTTGAGGAATAGCTTCTTGAGACTTTGTCATGGCTGTACTCATGATAGACAGGACTACCAAAATTCATGTTGCTACATGAAAATAGCTTTGGAGACACAAATGTAAGTGAAAGAGATAAATGAAACATGCCCTCCCGCATCCCGGACATAGAGCTTGATGTCGTAGATCTGTTTCATTGTTTAATGGACACCAGAAGCTTTTCTCTATCTGGAGAGAGAAATTCTACCTGGAAATGGGTTTGACACATCTTCCGCTTGTGCATTCCTCCGTTTCATGCTTCGCAACCTCCAAAGTGACGACGTTGTTATGGAAGTGTTGTTGATGAGACACAACATCAGTCTTTAATGTTACTTGGATGTGGTTGGTGTTTGGTCTGTACCCCAGGAAGCTCAGATTGTATCTGACGTTCTGCTATGACTCAATTGTCACCATGGAGTTCTTAGCAATGTTAGCATGTGGACGTTAGCATTTTATCCATGTGCTGTATGCTGTATGTCAGCATACCAACTGAGAGCATGTTAGCATGATACTATAATTCACTCTGTCATCCAAATTTCCATTATTTTGCCTTTAGATAAATACAAAGAATATCAGTGGATCGGACTGAACGACAAAACCATCGAGGGAGACTTCCGCTGGTCCGACGGAAACCTTCTGGTGAGGACGTTTTCATCCATTGACGCTTTCCTGTAAGATCCGCCTGTGACGTGTATGTTCTTTCTGCCTCAGATCTACGACAACTGGCACAGAGGGCAGCCCGACAGTTACTTCCTGTCTGGCGAGGACTGTGCCGCCATGGTTTGGCATGACGGCGGGCGCTGGAGTGACGTGCCCTGCAACTATCATCTTTCTTTCACATGCAAGAAGGGCCTTTGTGAGTGGTTCTCCTACAAAAAAATCAATTCTTCGATGAACCAATGGTTTAATTTAAATGGAAAAATATAAATACAGGTACAAAAATATCAGTTGGGAATGAAAAATTCCCAACTGATATTTTTTATATTGTTATATTGATGATTAAAAAATGATTGACAATAAGTTCGTTCAGAATTATTTAAATCAACAATTAAATAATTACTGACATTAAATATATACTGAATGTAAAATTCTGATAGATGTATATGTATATTATTTCTGGAATGGAAAAAAACAAACTAACCAGTTATTTAATTAGACATAAGATATTTTAAAACTTATATGGCTGGTAAAAGTTTTTATTTTATGAATAAATTATTTGAAATAAATCAATGAACCAATGAGCTAATGTAATAAATGAAAGAAAAAAAAATACCAAATCGAAAATACTGTATACTTTTTAATGAACAAGGTTTAGGAAAAATAGCGAAAGGAAGATGGCAAATATTTTATATTTTTACTGCTCATGCATGTTGTCACCAGCATCCTGTGGGGAGCCTCCTGCGGTTGCAAATGCCATGCCGTTTGGTAAGACGCGGACACACTATGAGACCTTCGCCAAGGTACGCTACCGCTGCCATGCGGGCTTCATGCAGAAGCTGAACCCCATCATCAGCTGCCTGCCCAACGGCCGCTGGGAGGAGCCCTTGATCATGTGCCTACCAGGTAAACAACACTTTGGACAAGTACTGATGCTAATATTAGATTTACATACATATATAACATGTCTGTTTCAGCTGCTTCACCTGCAGACCACCGGTTCAGTTCAACTGCTCGCCCCCTCTCCGAGGAGGCGGAAGAAGTCACCGCGGCGGTCACCACGGAGATCCACACTCAAAGCAGCTCTCCGCTCTCAGCACATTAAGAACATCATATCTTCCACACTGAAACTAACCTTAGGTTTCTGCCTAAAAAGCGCTGTAACCCAAATGCTACGGTCGAGTTACATCAACGAGCAATTTTAGCGTCGCTGTCATTGATGAACGGTGTTTGGGGTTTTTGTTCACGAAAAGTGGTCTATTTTATTAAAGCAACTATGGCGGGGCATTTGTGCTTTATTTCTTATTATTATTATCTCTGTGTGTTTTTATTTTAAAACTGATGGGCAAGCTCATTCATAGATGAGGTTAAAAAAAATACTGAAAGTGTGTTTGTAAAATAATGTATTTGATATAATTTATACATAGATATGGGGAGAGAGAGAGAGAGAGAGAGAGAGAGCGAGAGAGAGAGAGACTGATTATTTCACGAGATAAAACAGCTACAGTATATTAATCATGTCTCAGCTTCAGAAAACAGGTGAACTGTTTTCATATTATTGTAAAGAATTTTTTTGACTTTACTTCCCCTTTAATGAATGAGACATCTGAATAAAAACAAAAATCAGATTGATACATTTTGAGGAAACAGTTTTAGCGCGACACTGTACAGCTTAAATGAATGCAACAAATCTTACAGGACTCCTTCAAATGATCAGAATCATTATTAGGCCTCTGAAAAGGTGTAAATGCTCAATCGGCCGGATTAAGGAATGGAGCGGGCCCCTGCTACGAGAAGCTTTCTGACTACCTATAGCAATAAGCTCCGTAAAGATGTGATGTATTATCGGGGAACCCAAAAGAGCGCACTCCGGATTCGGGGATGCCTCCGCAGCGCGCCCTTGGAGTGCCAATGGGGAAGCGCACGCTGCCGTCACGCAGCCAGCCGCCATCACATCGGTCATAGCCTCGGAAGTGCCAGGCGGCGTACAGTTGGCCCACCAACGCCAGCTGGGCTGCCCGACGGCCACACGCCCGCCCGGCCTGCTCCAGAGAGAATGCGCCCGGGATGTAGAAGACGGAACCTGTAACAGCACATGAGGGAAAATGGATTGTTTCAAAGGATGAAAGTATGAAAAAACAAGTTTATTTATTTATGCTTGCCCAAGAAACAACGTTGTTCTGAAAAAAACCCCCAAAAAAACAAAAACAACTTTTTTTCTGAAAATATATTTTCCGGATACAAAAAAACATGTCTAAACTCACCTGCAGTCAAGGAGGTGAAACAGAATGCGTCGAAGCGGTCTCTGTTTTTGTCTTTGGGGGCGTAGCTGCGAATACCTGGATGCCTTTGGGCCCCACAGGCCGGGCGAGGGCTGATGATGGGGTAGCGGACGCTTCCATCCTGGAGCCAACCCGCTTTGCACCAGTCCAGACCCTCCGTCCAGGCTGCACCAAATAACATGTGAACTCCATTCTTTCCATAAAAAGCCCCTTTCACAGCGCCTTTCCCAACAAACTGCCTCATCAGAGGTGAACAATTATTTAGGTAATTGCTTTCAACACAAACAACTGTGCCGTTGCAGGTTTCCGCAGTCAGATAATTACATTTGTGATGACATATTGCATTCAACACAAACGGATGTAACTCGTGAGCCTCGTAACACCCGTGCTGATTTCTGTTAGCATGATATGTTAGCATGAAAGGGTAAGTCGCCTCCAACATTTTCTTAACAATATGTTCTATGTGGCCCCACTAGTCCATATTGCAGTTGTGGCATATGGAATAAGCGGCAAAATCTATTTCAGGCGGCGGCCATTTTGCCACCTGCTGTTGACTGAAAATGACATCACGGTTCGTCCGGGGCTCAGGTAACGACCAATCACGGCTCACCTGTTTCCTGAGTTTGGCCATGTGACATTCGCAAGGTTTTGTTTATATTGTCTGCCTGCATACGTTGCTGGAGTTTGTGTTTGAATATTAGTTCTTGAAAGTTAGCCTGTCTATGGCTTTTTCCATCAAGTGTTAGCATTAAGCTAGTTATGTGGTTTGGTTAGAATTCACCACGTGTTGTTTTCTGTTTAGTTTTACAGCAAACTACAACTGTAAATTCACTTCACATGAGAGGCTCTGGAAGGTAAGAACATGGGTTCAATGTGGGGAAAAAAAAACAGTGATAGGCCATAAATTGTACCTCGGTAGAGTTGCTCATAAGAGGCAAGAGTGCCGTCCTGTTCCTCACACGCCACTTGGGCCTCATGGAACGTCATCCTGTAACGGCCTTTATGACTCTGATACGGAAAAACCACACCTGAAGACAAGAAGCCCGCGACAATAAGTCAACAATAGAGGAGGCTCACCAGAGCTCTGATCAGTGGTGTGCAGTCAGTCTTTATTTTTTTTTAAACAAGCATTTTTGTTATTATTTCACACATCCCCACTGAAGGACCAGGTCCAAAACTCACCGCCCGCCACTGCCTTACCTTCAATCCTGAGCGTGACCACCACACTCTCATCATCAATGTCGTTGATGAGCTCGCATCGGTATCTGCCGCCGTCTCGCAGTTGCAGTCCGCCGAGCTGCAGGGAGGCGTCCATGTTATGGGCCCGCCGCAGGGATGCCCGTGGGCCGAGCCGGCCGTGCCGCCTGAAGGCATGAGCGTTGGAAATCATAACGATGTTCTCCGGGCCCACGTGTCCCGGTTCCAGCTTGGTCCACTTGACCTTGTAGTGGTCGGGCTTATTCTTCAGGATGCATGGTAACGTAACGTTCTCGCCCCGACGGCCGACAACCTCGGCGTAAACGGGCGGCTCAAGGAGGTACTTCAGCTTGGAGGGGGATGTCGAGGGGGATGGGATGTTATGGGCTATGAAGGAAAATTAAAGCAGACTTATCGCTTGTTACTACCCACATCTGGAACACTTTAATGTGAAATGCTATCACTGGGCGAACGGGAATTAACATTGTGGTAATTATAAACCACCATTTTTTATATTGAAACGTAACCATGTCAGACAAAAAAAAAAAAAAGAATATTTGACAGCTCAGTGTGTAATGTGCTCAATTTGATAGCTGGAGGCGTACACAGTACCAGCGGTAAGATAAATTCCCCCAAAAGCTCATCTCATTCATCATCTTATGACAGTGTACCCGAGAGCAGAGTCACGGAGCAGGCCAGGCAGCTCACAAGAAGAACCAGGGAGGCACTCATGATGATGGAAAAGCCACGTGGGGTTCCTTTAAGTCACCTTTTGGCGCACAAACATTTGTTTTTTTACGCAATAACAATGTTACAATTCGAGATCAACTCCAAGAACATATCTTACATGGTGAAGATTTCTGAAGAGGACTCTCGCTTAAGCCGTTCTATTTGTTGATGTTTCGTCCGTGTTGGCCCGAGTTTCGAGCTTTCTCTTTGACAAATTGATCTTGGAGAAAGGGATAGCCGGGTGCATTAATACAGATACATCGACATTATATATAAACATCACATCCATAAAAGCATAAGTGGAAGAAAATGGTGGATGGATCGATGGATTAACGAACCATCTGCAAATCGTCATCTCAGTACAGATTTAATATTCAAAAAACATGATCGTCTGACTTACCCCAAATACTTTGAGTCAAAAGTGGATTCCCTGTTGACAATTCAAATTGTGAGTGTTCAGCACTCCTCATGTATGTCGGTCCACTGTCTCGCCCTGTCTCGCGCTTTCTCCTCGTGCTGGTCATGTGGTCAAGCCAGCATCATTGTCATGCTCCAGATGTTAATGACGACCAGGGCGGGTTCGCGGCTTTTCTGTTGTGTTGTTGTGCCACTCAAACCAGAATATTGTTGAAGAACCATCAGACTACAGGAAGCTTTCTGACGCCAGCAGCACTTTTAACACCATAATGCCTTGATAGCCCCAGAACATAATCAAACTCCCCCGTTTGAATGTTTAATTTCATGTCTGTAAAAATATTGTAGAGCTGATGTGACTTGGCAGAAGTTCCCATTTTGTATCTTTTAGGGCCATTCGCCCAGAAGATCTGTGACCTGTCAAAATCCAGTCAGACACTCAGTTTTGATTTGAGACTTGACTTTCGCTGAATCCGGTAGGATCTGAAGCAAAATAAATAGACATTTGCCCTTCATTGAATTCTTAGGAGGAGTAACTGGTGTTTTCTACACCATGCAATTGTGACATAACAGTCCATGTCCTATAGCAGGCTGAGCTCGCGGTTTATTGACACAGGTGGACAACAAGTGTGGACAACAAGCCTTCTTGTGTGTGTGTGTGTGTGTGTGTGTGTGTGTGTGTGTGTGTGTGTGTGTGTGGGGGTGTGTGGGG